GCCCTGTCCCGTCCTGTCCCGCCCCGTCCCGTCCCGCCCTGTCCCATCCTGTCCCACCCTGTTCAGATGGTCATACTGGCTAACTAGCTAATCATGAGCAACCTTGTCAGCGGAAGTACTACATTTATATCACAAAGTGAAATTAAGGGGAATCTACTGTTTGTACGAAAATTCACATGGGAATCTGTAGTATTTTCAGTGCAGTGGGACAGGAATCTTTGATATGTTATTTCTTTTTGAGCAGGGAACTGACAACAAACCCACAAGCTACCACATCCACAATATGGACAGTTCCATTCCACCACTATCGACCTTTGACCTCAGTGCCTGCTTTACGTCAGAGAAGAAGACTCATTTCATCATAAAGTTTCAAAGTAAGATATTTGCCTAGTTGTTCATGCTGATTTTCCTTTAAACCTGAAATATACATCACAACCTAATGTACCCTGTGAATGTCAAATCATGTGACTTTTTGTTCTGTAAACTTATATCTCAGATATTTGCAGACAATTTATATTGACAACCTAACTAATATGAAATTATGTGGCAGTGTTGCAAAAGTCTTTTATTTTCATAAATATTTCTTTTACAGTACTGGGAAATAAAAAGTATAAAGATATTAGCGAGTCCTTCCTTCTAAATACTATCCATGAGGAGCTGTCCACCGATTCCTTTATTGATCCAGTCCGGATCACAAACATACAGGTAACTCTAATGTACACCTATAGTTAACATTATGTATATCAGTCACATGATGTAAACAACATTTGTATCAGTCACACGACCTATACAACATGTATATCAGTCACATGACCTAAACAACATGTATATCAGTCACACGACCTATACAACATGTATATCAGTCACACGACCTATACGACATGTAAATCAGTCACATGACCTATACACCATGTAAATCAGTCACATGACCTATACAACATTTGTATCAGTCACACGACCTATACAACATGTATATCAGTCACCTGACCTAAACAACATGTATATCAGTCACACGACCTTAACAACATGTATATCAGTCACATGACCTATACAACACGTAAATCAGTCACACGACCTAAACAACATGTATTTCAGTCACACGACCTAAACACCATGTAAATCAGTCACATGACCTATACAACATGTATATCAGTCACACGACCTATACAACACGTAAATCAGTCACACGACCTAAACAACATGTATTTCAGTCACACGACCTAAATACCATGTAAATCAGTCACATGTCCTATACAACATTTGTATCAGTCACATGATCATACACCATATAAATCAGTCACATGACTTGTACAACATTCAGAACAGTCACATGACCTATACAACATGTATATCAGTCACATGACCTATACAAATGTTGTATAAATCACATGTCTTTTATAACTTCCTGTTCTTCCTATACTTCCATAGTAGGTAGCAATCTGGGAGAGGAATTAATATAAGCTTTAAGATTGTTTTTTTTGTCCCTCTGAAATAACAAAAATGTTATAACCATGCTTGATTATTGAATAAAATACTGTGTAAGCTAGGTTTCCAACCGATAGATTTTTAGCTCACCCGCCCCTCCGGGGTCCGTCGTCCGTCAACTTTTCCTAAAAATCGCTACTAGTCATAAACGACTGAGCAGATTTTGACCAAATTTGGTCAGAAGCATCCTTGGGTAAAGGGGAACCAATTTTTTATAAACCGGGGGTCTGGCCCCCCTGGGGGATGAGGGGCGGGGCCCAATAGGGGAAATATAGCAAATTCTTTAAAATCCTTCTTCCTCTGTAGGAATTAAAGGATTTGTTCCATATTTGGTCTGAATCATCCTTGGGTAAAGGGGAACCAATTTTATATAAAACGTGGGTCTGGCCCCCGAGGGGCCTGAGGGGTGGGGCCAAATATGGGAAACATAGCAAATTCTTTAAAATCCTTATTATTCCGTAAAAACAAAAGGCTTTGTTCCATTGTCATAAATGACTGAGCAGATTTTGACAAAATTTGGTCAGAAGCATCCTTGGGTAAAGGGGAACCAATTTTGTATAGATGGTGGGTCTGGCCTCCCTGGGGGCTGAGGGGCGAGGCCCAATAGGGGAAATATAGCAAATTTTTTAAAATCCTTCTTCCTCTGTAGGAATGAAAGGATTTGTTCCATATTTGGTCTGAATCATCCTTGGGTAAAGGGGAACCAATTTTGTATAAACCGTGGGTCTGGCCCCTTATTGGCCTGAGGGGCGGGGCCCAATAGGGAACACATAATAAATTCTTTAAAATCCTTCTTCTTCTGTAGGAAAGAAAGGATTTGGTCCATATTTGGTCTGAAGCATCCTTGGGTGAAGGGAAACCAATTTTGTATAAAACGTGGGTCTGGCCCCCGAGGGGCCTGAGGGGGGGGGCCAAATATGGGAAACATAGCAAATTCTTTAAAATCCTTATTATTCCGTAGAAACAAAAGGATTTGTTCCATTGTCATAAATGACTGAGCAGATTTTGACAAAATTTGGTCAGAAGCATCCTTAGGGGAAGGGGAACCAATTTTGTATAGATGGTGGGTCTGGCCTCCCTGGGGGCTGAGGGGCGAGGCCCAATAGGGGAAATATAGCAAATTTTTTAAAATCCTTCTTCTTCTGTAGGAAAGAAAGGATTTGTTCCATATTTGGTCTGAAGCATTCTTTGGGGGAAGGGGAACCAATTTTGTATAAACCGTGGGTCTGGCCCCTTATGGGCCTGAGGGGCGGGGCCCAATAGGGAACACATAATAAATTCTTTAAAATCCTTCTTCTTCTGTAGGAAAGAAAGGATTTGGTCCATATTTGGTCTGAAGCATCCTTGGGTAAAGGGACACCAATTTTGTATAAACCGGGGGTCTGGCCCCTGAGGGGCCTCNGATCCCCACCCCAGAACTATATATACAAATGCTTGGCATAAAGAGACAAAAGTAGTCATGGTATTAGAATAGACCCTGGGGTCTGACCGAACCCCTAGGGACCTAGTTTCTTAGTCACAGCTTGGAAACAGTTGAGATCCCCACCCTATAACCATGCATATATACAATTGCTGAGTATAAAGAGATGAATACACATATGCTTCCAGGATGGCCTTGGGGTCTGCCCCACCCTTGCAGACTTAACCCCTGGGTCATAACTTTAACACAGTTGAGATCCCCACCCAAGACTATAAATACAAATGCTGGACAAAAAGAGACGAATGCAGTCATGATATTAGAATTGATCCTGGGGTCTGGCCACAACTCTAGGGATCTAGTTTCTGAGTGACAGCTTTAAAACAGTTGAGATCCCCACCCCATAACCATACATTAAATTGCTGGGCATGAAAAATCTAATACAGACATACTACAAGAATACTCATTGGGGTCTGGCATATTCCCTTGGATCTCATTTGGAGAATATTTTGCCATGATTTCTTAGATATCCAGGTGAGCGATTCAGGCCCTCTAGGCCTCTTGTTACATATTGTTTTTATTTTATTTCAGATAGAGCCCATCAATAACAGGTCATTTGTATTTGTGGGCACCCTATTAGACCAGGCCCCCATCATCAACCCTTATATTATACCTCCAGTGTATAATCGCATCTCATTGGACGCCTCGCTGGATTTCCTCCACGGAATGATTGATGGTACTTGGAAGAAAAACGTTACTGGGAAAACAGGGGAGGTAAAACTTCAGTTGTATATTCTGATCATGTTATAATTGGTGTTAATCTGTTTTAGTATAGTTTTCTGTCAACTTTATTATATACTACCATGTTACGTAGTCAGTGTCAAGAAATGTAAACTTTTCCTATGGTTTGTTACATTGATGATCCCCGTTCCACTGCCAAAAACTGTAATGAAGTATTGGAATCTGTTTTTACGCGTATGACTGTGACGAAAAACATACGGAGCTAGCTGTTTGTATTTGTAAATATCCATGTCCCTGTGCATTCTCGATGTTGTTTACGCGCTAGAGTAGAGCTGGCCTTGACCTAGCCCCAGTCAAAACACAAAGGTGATGCGTGCAATCTCCTCGTGATTGACAGGGGGGGCGGGGCATATGGGTATATAAGCTGGCCAAAACGTGCGTACATCGCCGTACGGCCTTGGCCACACTGCCAGTGTGCATTGCCACAGCCATTTGCCATTCTGTGTCAGAAGCTACACGAGAGCAGACCATTACTTGTTAGTTGTAAGTATACTAGAGAGCGAGCTTTCAATGATGGGGTATGTCTGTATAATACTGTTACCCATTACGATCACTCAAAAGTATCATACCTTACAAGGGCGAGCTATCGTATTGCTTCGGGTCTGCTACATTGCTAGATCACGGGCACTGTGAGAGCTCGTTAGATTGCCATAGGGAGTTATAGGGATCCCGAGTGGTCAGGATAACTCAAGATTAGCAAGAGGAGTTCTCTAGATTGTACATTATAGGTACAGGAAGTGCTGCGGAGCTATCATTGTAGTGAGACATATGCCGTACTGAGCTATCCGAGCTATCACCAGAGTACAGGTAGGATGGTCGAGCAGTGAGAGGTCAGCGAGCGATCGGCCGCGTGTTTGTATATATGCACGTTCTGAGCGATCAGAAGCGGGACGCGCTCAGTTAGATTAGTATTAGGTGTTTCATTGTTCTATACGTAGTTATTTTGTATGTGACATTGATACTGCTTTGTATATATCCCCTGTATATATGTATTTGTATAAGACGTACATGATCACAAGCAGTGATTGCTCGGGACATAGGCAATGTTGCAGAGCTAGAATAACGTATCTGTATATATTTGCATCTATACTTGAATATTGATACTTGAATATTGTTTCAAACCCTAGACTTCAGATTGATATACTATCGCTCTAATCGATTGAGCTACCTGGTCAACAGAAGTCTGCTGGCCCAACTGTGCTACTGTTACATCCAAATGGAAGTTAAGGGGAAGTAACTGTATACAGGAAAAACAGTGCAATGGGACAGGGATCCATAAATTCCTTTATGACATGGTATGACTATTTAGATGGTAACCTGGGCACAAACCTTTTGGCCGAGGTTGCCATGTGGTTAAGTTGTCTGACTAGCTAGGATCACTATCTCTCCGCCACTTTGTCGTGGGTTTGAGGCCTATACGTGGGGTAGTCACCAGGTACTGGCTGCCGGTCTGTTGTTTTTCTCCATGTACTCCGGTTTTCCTCCATCACCAAAACTTGTCTTTAACGTAAATGACCATAGCTGTTGGTGTAATGTGAAGCACAAACACATTTTCATGACTATCCCATGTACAGCAAACACTGGTACAATATATCACCTTAATTTGTTGTATTTGCTTGCATCATGCCATAGAAGCCAGGAAGGTTTATACACAACAAACCTTTCATATTATTCAGGATCCCTACATTTATCAGGAGGCTCAGTAGTCTAGTGGTAGGACGCCGGGCTCGTGACCGAAGGGTTGCGGGTTCGAGCCACGGCACTGCACTGTGTTGTATCTTTGAGCAAGATACTTTACTCCGCTTGTTCCAGTCTTCTCAGCTGTAAATGAGTATGTGGTTGGGCAGTGCTAGAATTGTTGAATGCTAGCTGTAATTAAGCGCTGAAATGGCAGCATCAGCTGTATGCTTCTAAGGGAGTTGAGAAAGATGTTGGCTGTTTGCAAAGGCCCTATAACCACGGATAATAATTTGTGAACCGCTTTGAGACGACCTACGAACTAGGTTGTGATAAAGCGATATATAAAAACCTCTAATTATTATTATTATCATTATAAATATGACCATTAAAAAAAACACTTCCAACACTAGAAGGAATTATTCATTTTCTAGATTAATTGGACAATTTAGAGAATTTGATTTTGATAATGTTGTCACAAAATCTTTCATGATGATCAATATAGTTAGATACTCCTTATGAACAATTCATGTCAAGCAATTGCCAATAGTAAATGCTTTCATGGCATTCTTAATCAGTAATGGTATAGCCATACATTTAAGTGGTAACCGTCGGTGAACTTTTAACGAACTGGGAATGTGCAAACGTCTTTTTATTTTGTAAACAAAAATGTTTTTCCAGCCAAGCCAATAGCCTGTTTAAATCTTTTTACCTGTTTCAGACCAAATTATTTATCGAATATTCTTCGTATAGGCATGCTATGATATTTTCAAACAGCCCTTGCTTAAGTATAGGTCTTCTGTAGAGGAACTGGACAGGGTCGATCGTTGGGCGACCCGGTAGCTCAATTGGTAGAGCGTCAGTCTAGAGTTTGGAAGGTCCCAGGTTCGAACCCCAGTCTGGCCATGCTTTTTTTCTCTCCTGTTAGTCACTCCCATAGATTCACAGTTACTAACTGTTAAAGCAGTGCATTAGTTTGATGAAGATTGAATCAGAACATGATCATTACAACAAAATTTGTGACGGTATATTATAAATGAATACTACTTAAATTTATTAATACATTGATATTTTCTTATTTTCTTCAGGGAATATTGATTGTTGGCAACGAAATCGTAGAGCTGAGCTACAGACAAGAGTTAGCCACCACGACGACGATGAGTACCCAGAGACCAACATTTTTAGTACCCACGCTCCCTCATCTCACCAATACCTCTGGGGGTCCTCCAAGCCCTGGCTCCGTGAAACCTTCTCCAACGCCAGCCCCACCTTCCACTGGTCCTGCAAGCACATCTAAAGCCAGTCCAACACTCAAACCAACACCGAAACCAACTCCCAAACCAACCCCCAAACCGCCCGCCAGACCAGTGACCAAACCAAGAGTTACTCCCAGTTCAGCACCTCCAAGTAAGTGTATTTTGTCCAACTTGCACATGTAAGTTTTTGCCTCATATATATGGTCAAACACTATATAGTTTTATAATCTTGTGGGGCTAATGTTTCGCAGTTGTCCTGATCAGAACTAGTTTGCAGGGATAAAATTCCGCGAAACATGGCCAGGGTAAATATCGCGCTTACGAGGGAACTTTTATAATTTTGTGATTGGATTTATTTTACAAAGTTTTATTAAAACGTAGTAAAATGCTGTCTTTAATTGCACAGAGATTACAATTCATGGTATTAATAATCATTTAGTATTTACTTTCGCACTATGAATATAGCAAAATAAAATTCCCTGTGAATATTTAATTACCAACTTTACAGTAGGGAAATGCTTGACCTCTCCTTTGACCGAGTATGAATGAGCCATTTAGCATGGGCATGGAAATAAATACACAAAATCATCTGTATACTGTATACCGGGAAATTTTCGTTGCAGTCTAATTTTCACCTTTTTTGCCATCCGTAATTAATGAGGGCAAATTTATCGTTACAGCAAATATAAGTTAACAGTATGATAAACCTATAAGTTAAATGTGAATGGCAGATTGAACATAAGATGAACATTTATTTCATGGGCGAAGGGCGAAAGTTTGACGGGGTGAACATTTCCCGGTATATACAGTATTGGTATGAAGAAAATGGAGTATTCACAGCTGTGTCCTTAGTTTTCAACTCATTCAGCAATGAGTTGAAAGCAGACCCTGATCTATGATTAAAAAATTCTCATCAAAACAACCGTATAATCTGGTCCAAGTGATGTCTAGTTTAGTTAAAGTCAAATATATTTTGATACCTTGTGGACAACCACCGTTTGCTTTTCCTGATCACAGCTTTCATTCATCCGTCTATATGGTGTCTGGGTTGAACTTTGAGTTAAGATCCATTACACACTCAAGTACTGGAAATCTGATAGTCATCAGACTTCATATGTGGATACCTCTTGTGGAGTACTACAACAACATATCAAATATAGGTCGCTGTGACCTATATTATCTGCTTCAATACTTCACTGGAACTTCACATTAAACTGCATTTCTTTGATTAAATTAAAGAGTCCTTGATTAAAGTAAAGAGTCTTTGATTGAATTAAAGAGTCTCAATACTTTTGGCCCAAATCAAAAACTACATTTGTTTTTATTAGCTCACCTGGCCCAAAGGTCCATGTGAGCTTATGCCGTACTGCGGCATCCGTCGTCTGTTTGTCTGTCGTCCGTCCGTCAACTCTTTCTTTTGAACGTCTTCTCATGAAGAACTGGAGGACCTAGGGTCATGATATTTGGCCAGTATGTACCTGGGATGAAGTGCTATTAAGTTTCCACATTAAAATGACCTTGACCTTCTTTCAAGGTCACTAGGGTCAAATATGTTAAAAATTTCAAACAACAATTTTCTAAGAACTATTTGGACTAGAGTCATGATACTTGGGTATATTATGTAGACCAGCAGTGCAAATATTTTTCTTTATTACAGTAATGAGGTTAAAGGTCAACTTTAAGTGCTAGTCAGGGGTCAAATGTCAACATAGGTTAAAAGCTTTAAAAATCTTCTTCTCAAGTTCCATAAGGCCCAGGGTCATGATATTTGGCCAGTAGGTATCTGGGATGAAGTGCTATTAAGTTTCCACATTAAAATGACCTTGACCTTCTTTCAAGGTCACATGGGTCAAATATGTTAAAAAAATAAATAAAAAAAATATCCCAAGAACCATTTGGACTAGAGTCATAATACTATGTTATGTAGACCAGCTGTGTGAGTTGTTTTCTTTATTACAGTATTGAGGTCAAAGGTCAACTTTAAGTGCAAGTCGGGAGTTAAAGGTCAATGTGGATTAAAAGCTTCAAAATTAATATTTCAAATTTCAAACAACAACATCTTCAGAACCGTTTAAGAGATGTTAAAATGGCTTGTGTTCTAGTTACCAAATTTGGTCTTAAGTTACCTATATGTCAGTTTCATGTAACAAAAGAAACAGGTGAGCGATACAGGCCCTCTGGGCCTCTTGTTAAACTTTGGGTTTAGCTCCATTACCATCAAAACAGGAGAAGGGGCTTATATGATACATTTTACAACAGTCTTGGCTGACTATCATGAAGACCTACAAATCTGAACTATATTTCAGCCCCGTGTAGCTGTCCGACGGCAACATGTCCGACAGTAACTCCAGCATCTACACCTGCTCCGGTCAAATGTCCTACAGTGTTGTGTCCCAAAGTGACGCCGGCTCCGGCACAAACCGCTGCACCAGTCAAATGTCCGACAGTTACTTGTCCCACTCCGCCTCACCAAGCAAGGTCGTCTCCGAGGATTCAGACATCTTCAGCGTCTCCCGCAACAGCGGCAAATAATCAACAGGCTTCACAACAAAGTCCCAAGAGTTCTGGAGGTGTTTCAGGAGGTAAGCGATTTTTGGTATCTGGATTTAAATTAAAGATGCATGTTGTGAGGAAATAAGGTTCATGGTGTGAGATTTTAGGTTCCTAGTGTCAGGTGGTAACATACCTCCAAGGTTTTAGAAATTTCCATGGGAACAGTACGTGTGCTCAGAACAACATACATAAATACAATGTGTGTATGTTCACTCTAAGGGAAAGTAACACTTCTGAATAATGGCATCTTTTCAACTGTTATTTCTGATGAAATCATGAGATCTTGGAAATAGGTATAGTTAGCGAGTTCACTGGCTGAAAACAAATCAGTTTTAGGGTCCAGTATTCGAAGTCTCCTTCCGAAATAAGAAGGTATAAAGTATAAAGAGATGAATGCACATATGTTTCTCGGCTGACTCTGGGGTCTGGCAACATCCTTGGAGACTTACTCCCTGGGTCATTTCTTTAAAATGGTTGAGACCCCCACCCCTTAACTTAATATACAATTGCTTGGCGTAAAGAAACACATGCAGACATGATATTAGAATAGACCCTTTGGTCATAACCTTGAAACAGTTGACATCCCCACCCTAAAACTATATGTATAATTTATGGGCATAAAGAGATGAACACAATCATGATATCAGCATTGACCCTTGGATCTGGCCACACCCCTATGATTTAGTTTATGAGTCATTACTTGGAAACAGTTTAGATCCCCACCTTATAACCATATATACATTTGCTGAGTATAAAGAGACAAATGCACATACCCCCGGTATGCTTCCAGGATTGGTCTGGGGTCTGCCCCACCCTTGGAGACTTAACCCCTGGGTCATAACTTCAAAACGGCTGAGATCCCCTCTCCAAAACTAAATATACAATTGCTGGGAATAAAGAGACGAATGCAGTCATGGTATTAGAATTGTTCCCGGGGTCTGCCCCACCCTTACAGACTTAACCCCTTGGTCATAACTTTGAAACTGTTGAGATCCCCAACCCAAAACTATATATACAAATGCTGGGCAAAAAGAGACGAATGCAGTCACGATATTAGAATTGATCCTGGGGTCTGGCCATAACCCTAGGGACCTAGTTTCTGAGTCACAACTTGGAAACTGTTGAAATCCCAAGCCCACAACCATACATACAATAGCTGGGCATGAAAAACAAATACAGATGTGCTACAGGCCTTGGGGTCTGGCCCTATCCCTGGGATCTTATGTGGGGAATATTTTGCCTTGATTACTTAAATATCCAGGTGAGCGATACAAGCCCTCTGGGCCTCTTGTTTCATTTTGGCTGCGTGATCAGAAGAAAAATGTAATTGCTAGAAATCAGAAAACTCTCTGTCCACTTTTTACACATCAACTTATATAGTAGCTACAGGTCAAAAGACAACCCAACTTTGAAAGGACAATGTCAAGCATAGCAGTTTGAAGTTTGGATCAAAAGTTACCACAAGATGCATTTTCTGATGCCATGAAACAATCCAACAGATAAAAGAAACTTACATAGAACTCATGAAACTCTTATGATGGTGTAAGCCAAGATCCTTTTGGGATTTTCTTGTTTCCATAAGAAAATGAATTCTTTATGAAACCACTGGATTCCCCATAAAAGTACACCTTTTCTTTTCTCAGGTGCGGCTGCTGGCATAGCCATCATCATGTTGGTTGTAGGACTAGGGATTGGGTTTCTTGTCACGAGACTTTATCATGTGCGAAACATTCAAGGATTATTGCAACGGAAACCAAATGATTACGATGACGATGGAAATTTTTAACTCGGAATGTGTTTAGATATTGCAGTTCCCCGTTGTTTATCTGTTGATCAGAAAACTTTATGTTGTGTGTGGAGTTTCAGCAATATTTTCATCATATTTGTACGAAAGTGTGTGTTCTTGCCGTAATGTAATGGTGTGAACTATAATGACATATATGTTTAACTCCTGTCAAAGCTTTTGCAATGTTTTTGTATGAATGCCAAAGAATAGCCATGAATGGAAAATTTCATTCCTTGACCACCTGGTGGTTTTTTTTAATAATTCTCTCATGACCTTACATTTAATATTCACATGACCTTTGTTCAGCCCTATTCAATTCATCATGATTATTGTAAGGATCTTCTACAATGATTTAATATGAATCCAAATAATTTTATTTAACGATCACATAACACTTGACTGATACAGTTTTTTAAGGAGTGAAAAGTCAGGTAAGATGATGCAGGAATCGCACAATGATTCGATACCACATTCCATAATGTGACACGGCTTCACACGACTTGTACAGTTTAATACGACAGCAGTACAATGCAGTATGGATTTTGAAAATTGACTAATAGAGTACAGAAGTTTTTAACAGTTTTCGACTAAGAATACTCAAAAACAATAGCAAAACCGTGATTTTTGAACATTTTCAACGTTGATACATGTATAAGCAAAGCAAAACGCAGGATCCAAAACACACTACAATCACAGAGCTCGTTTGCAGGGTGACCTTCACAAATGCAGGTGACATTGGAAGTAAGAGAAATAGTTCTTATGAACACTTTTGAGCGACAACCTGGCCCCAAGTGTGCTCTTGATCAATTATGGTTCAAATCTCTTCATCCGTACAGAAAAAGGATTTAATGCTTACCTGTTTTCCTGTATTGGGCCCCGCTCCTCTGCCCCAAGGGGAGGCGGGGGCGTGATTTCCATTTATATATCACATTGAGTTGCCTTTGTCAATCGATGTTCCGGACCAGATTTTGTTAAAATTTCTTCAGTAAGAAGGGAGGAAGATTTAGAGTTTAACCTCTATTTTTAGATTGATCAGAAACTCATTTATCTTGTAAGCTTATGTTTTTGGCAAGAGGTCAAATAATGCCAGGAAGATTTCTGGTTCCTTGACAGGGACAAAGACGTTTTTTTGTATTTCATGTGAAGCAAAAGGGATAATTGTAGGCCTATAGGATCTAATTATGTTGGCACCACAGGGACATGAGAATTTGTTACGGATATATTTGGACCTAGTAAAATTTACATGAGTAAATTTACATGTTTTAGGGGTTTAGATCACCTTTCGTTAAAAGTGCCGCCCCCAATGATGATATATACAAGAAGCTAAGGGGTGGCATTTTTACAGTGTAGAATGAATCTGAACACCTTGGTTTAGGTCTAAATATAGCTACAACAAATTCTCATGTCCCTGTGTGTCACTGTCAGTGTTGTTGACTGCACAAAACTTTCACTCAAGTTCAATTAATAGTTGTATCCGAAATTCAATATGGACACCATCTTTTATCATACAGAGATGTTTCAAGAGGGCATCTTAAGAAGAAATAATAGGATTTTAAAGTTTGGTGCTTGGCGATGGTATTTTCCTAATATACTTTTTTTTACTCAATACTCAAGTTCAGTGCTAGGCTTGTGATATTTGCCTAGTAACCTTTTACTCTGCGCTCATGTTCAGTGCTGGGCTAATGATATTTGCCTGGTAACTTTTTACTCAGTGCTCAGCTTGTGATATTTGCCTAGTAATTTTTTACTCAATACTCAAGTTCAGTGCTCAGCTCGTGATATTTGCCTGGTTACTTTTTACTCAATGCTCAAGTTCAGTGCTCAGCTTGTGATATTTGCCTGGTAACCTTTTACTCAATGCTCAAGTTCAGTGCTCAGCTTGTGATATTTGCCTAGTAATTGTTACTCAATACTCAAGTTTGATGCTCAGCAAAAATTATGTTTATTTAATAAGGCTGCTGCAATATGATTGTCCGATGGTTTCCAAATGAAATCTTTTCAGGAAGAATGAGCTATGTCTCTCGATCAATTGTTAAGGATCTTTGTCCCAATGCAATGTGGTTGTTCTTACAAGCAGTCACCTCCCCTCAACAACTGGGCCAGGATACATGAGGTAGCTCAACTGGTTAAAGCTTCAGTTAAGCTGTCTGAAGTTCAGGGTTTGAGTCCTGGTCTAGCCCTGTAGTGGGGGTTCTTTTACGCTCGGATCAACTGTTGTTGATTATATAATGTTTATTTCATCTTTATTATTTCTCATGAAAGTCCCATAAGGTATGATTTTCTTTCAGAAATGATTTATCAAAGCTATAGCCATGCTGGAAAAAAACCAGTTTCCAATACTTAATAACAGTTTTTGGCAGTGGTACAAGGATCGTTAGATCTGGCTGCTGTGTGCATTCATATCAGTAATACAACAGTAAATTTATTCCTACTTTATTCCTTCTTTGTACATTGAATTAAGACATTATTTGTTTGTTTGTTTGTTTGATTTTGTTTAACGTCCTATTAACAGCTAAGGTCATTTAAGGACGGCCTCCCCTGTGTGCAAGATGCATGCGTGTAGTGTATGTGTGTGTATTTTGGGAGGCTGCGATATGTTCGTGTTTGTCTTCTTGTAATAGCGCGGAACTGATGCCGACTTTATAGTGCTACCTCACTGAAACATACTGCCGAAGACACCCAGCAGGACGCCCCACCCGGTCACATTATACTGACAACGGGCGAACCAGTCGTCCCACTCCTAATTTGCTGAGCGTTAAGCAGGAGTAGAAACTACCATTTTTAAAGACTTTGGTATGTCTCGGCCAGGGGACAGAACCCAAAGCCTTCCTCACAGGGGCGAACGCTCAACAAATGGCCAAAAGTGAGGCATTGTCAAGGGAGACATGAGGACAACTTCACTTCCATGGAATTCTTATCAATAAAATGTGGGCATGAAGGATCTCCCTACCACTGCCAAAATATGTGACTTTGCATTTGAAACTTTTTGGCATAACAATAAATCATTTCTGAAAACTTTTATGAACTTTTATGAAAAATAATCAAAATGAAATAATAATAAAAAATAAATCAATAAAAGTGCGGAAAGGCCAGACCAGGTTTCGATTAAACCCTCGACCTTCTGTCATTGTAGTGCTGATAAAGCCAACTGAGCAATACCTGATCTGTGTTCGTTTCCTAGTCAAGTCCTGCTAGAGTTAAAACCAAAATGAAATTAAGGGGAGGTAACTGTAAGTACAAAAACTACAGTGGAATTCTCTAGTGTTCTGCGTGCAGTGGGACAGGGGTCCTTTAGAAGAAAAGAATCATTTTATTACAAGGGCTTCATCAGCTAGAGGGTTTGTTTACCTTCACTTGCTAGAGTTATATCTAAAATGAAATTAAGGGGAGATAACTGTAAGTACAAAATAATAGCATTGGGATTATCCAGTGTTTTGTCTGCAGTAGAACAGGGATCCTTAAGAAGAAGAGAATCATTTTGTTTCAAGGGCCTTATCAGCTGTAGGATTAGTTTACCTTTAATTGCTAGAGTTTTATCCAAAATGAAATCAAGGGGAGGTTACTCTAAGTACAAAAAAACACAGTGGGTTTCTGTAGTATTTTGTCTGCAGTCTGTGCAGGAATCCTTAAGAAAAAATAAATGATTTTGTTGCCAGGGCTTGATCAGAGCTGAAGAGTTAGTTTACCTTAACGTTGTGTTGAGTCCAACTGCAATGTCGCTTGTTCAATGTTTGGTTATCAGGCAGTGTAATTAAGGTTTGCCATGGAGGTGACACTTTGTTATAAATACTCATGTGGTGGAAGCCAATTCACACTAATAACCACAAAAATAGACAATAATATTCTACAGAGCTAATTAAAACTTTCATGTTATTTATTTTGATTTTTGTTATGACGCTGTAGAATTTGTTTATATTTATGAAACTGAATAATTTGTTTATGTTTATGGCACGATAGAATTTTACATTTGTCATATGATAACGGTGTGACTATTATGTAATCCAAAATAAACTTCATCAAATTTTCACATGAATAAATTGTTTATTTACAACAAATAGAAATTGGCTATGGTCAAACCTGCTCCAGAGTTTACCTCTATTAAGAGACCTACTGTGCTACAATACAACTAAACTGAAACTGTATTAAGAGACAACCTCTACTATGTGACCACTTAACTGAAACTGAATTAAAAGACCACCTGTGCTATGTGATCCCTTAACTGAAACTGTATCAAGAGACCACCTGTACTATGAAACTGCTTAACATAAAACTATTAAGAAATCACTTAACTGAAACTGTATCAAGAAACAACCTGTGCTATGTGACAACCTAAATAAAACTGTATTAAGAGACCACCTGTGCTATGTGACCATTTTACTGAAACGGTATTAAAAGACCACCTGTGCTATGTGACCACTTCAATGAAACAGTAGTAAGAGACCACCTGTGCTATGTGACCACTTAACATAAAATGTATTAAAAGAGTACAGGTGCTGACAGGCAGCCATCTTGGATTTTGACAGTATGTTCGTTATTGCTATTTCTCAGGAAGTGATTGAGGGATCATTCTCAAAATTCATACGTAGGTTCCCCTTGGTCTTTGTTTGTGCATGTTTATGGCTGAATGGTGGCCATCTTGTATTTTGACAGCAACCCTTTGTTATCGCTATTTCTCTGAAAGTCCAGTATGGAACTTTCTCAAATTTGTAACATATATTCCCCTTGGTCATTTATTGTGCATTTTTAAATTTGTGACAGACGGAATAAACATAATTGTTGACAGGTGACCATCTTGGATTTTGACAATTAAAGTTTGTTATTGCTAATTCTCAGTAAGTACTTGAGTATTCTTTCTCAAATTTGATATGTAGGTTCCCCTTGGTCCTAAGTTGTGCCTGTTTTATTTTAAGAGTGATCATAAAAACATGATGGCTGCAGGAAGAACTGAACAGATCTTTCTCATATTGCAATGATCGATTCTATTTCTTTCACATTAAGTACTAAACTATTAAATATGTGAAACGACAAACTCACTAAAGGTTGTCTTTTATATACAGCAGAATGAAGTTTAGATAAAAAGTTACTTCAAGGTACATTTACTGTAGATAAGAGATAAGGAGAGAAAAGATCAAACTGACATAGAACTAATGAAGATGGTACGATGGTGGGTGCCAAGATCTCTGGTAAGCTCACCTGATCCAAAGGTGAGCTTTATACTGTTGCATGGCGTCTATCCATCTTTTCACTTTTTCTTTAAAACGCTTCTAGTCATGAGCAGCGCTTAATGTTTGACCCCCCCTCTTCCACCAGGGGCTAGGAGAGGGGGCAAAAGGGGTCAATCGGCCACATTGCTTTAATTTACTTCTTCTGTGGCACTAAGTGATGGAATTTTACCATATATAAAACACGTCATTACACTAGATTGATTTTATATTTTTCTTTTTCTTAGGTGGTTGAGGATTTAAAATTGTACCAGTTAAAGGCTTGACCCTTGAGTCTGAGGGGTGGTGACAAACATAATTTTTAACTGGGACATTATTGAGATCCCCTACCAATAATTATGTTTGCAATTTCTGAGTATTTAGAGACAAATAAACATATGCTTTCAGGATGGCTTTCATGTCTTTGCCACACCCTTGTAGACTTAGTCACTGGGTTATAACTTTACTACTGTTGACATCCCAATCCTGTTTATACTGAGCATAAAGTAATAAACACAAACATGATATTAGAATTGATCCTTGGGTCTGGCCCCACCCCTGGGGACTTTATTCCTGAGCATAACTTTGAAACGGTTGAGATGCCTTACCAATGAAAATATGTGCCATTGCTGGGCATCAAGAGAGGAACACAATTATGAAATTATTATTTTATTCCTCGGTGGTAACTTTGAAATGGTTGAGATTGATACCCTATAACTATATATACAAAAAACAAATATTCTCATACATCGGAACAGCCAAAAAGCATACAGACGTCTCAGCACTTCCCAAAGATAGACAACTCGCAACAGAAAAAAAAAAAAATCCTTACCAACAATTCCAAGCTGTCTTCAGAACAGAACAAAACCACGATATACAAGACAAAGGACCATCACCACACCCGATCACGACAGAAATAATAAGCACCGGTAACGGTACAGAAATGTAACTACCCAACATTTACTGTCAAAAAACCAATAGGGCAGATCAAGTCCACGGCAAAATTCTTGAAGAACTAATAGATATTGCATCATCTTTCCACATCAGAATTGTAACACACAACTCAACACAGGCACACTACCCAATGACTGGAAACACGCAAGTGTAAACCCAATCTACCAAAAAGGAGACAGATACAGTTCTACATACTACCAAACGATTTCAATTACGTGCATCATGTGCAAACCAAACAACACGTCATTACAAGCGTCACAAAATAAGTCCAAACGATCTGGCACAAAAAAACAAACACCATCACAAAGACAGGCAGTATAAAAACAGACTTTGACAAAGTCCCACATGTGGTTTTAGTTTGGGTTTAACGTCCTCTTAACAGCCAGGGTCATTTAAGGACGTGCCTTCATGTTTGTAATGTGTGTCTATTTTCTGGAGTTTGTATGTTTGTGTATTTGCCTCCTTGTGCAAGTACATATCTGATGTCGACTTTTAACGTCTTACCTCACTGAAATACCTTGCTAAAGGCACCCGGCCAT